CTTACTTTGTCCTTGTGTTCCATACAATGAAACAGGAAACTTCAGAGGAAAGAAGGGGGCCCCAATTTCTTACAAGGTGGCCCAGGGAGGCTGGAGGTCACTGGGGGTGTTGGCAGGAGGCTAGCTGCGCCTGGAGGCTAAAGAGGGGCCATTTCCCTTGTCAGGTTTCTGAGGTCACTTAAGAGCAAGAGAAAGGTTTTCCCCCTTGGGAAAAGATTTAGGGAGGGTGAGACCTGGAGGCCTAGAACCTGAAGATTGCTCTTGACCACTGGAATGGCGTCAAACCTCATGAAATCCAAATAGGAACTCTGCGCCCAGACTGACGGATTCCTCTGACAGAAATCCATTTGAGTTTGACAAGAACAGCCCCTGGGTTTTGAAACTCCGTTCTTATTTTGGAGACTCCTGCTTGTACTAAGGATCATCTTGTAGGTTGGTAGAATCTTCTAGTGACCTTTAGGCAATAGCCCTCAAAAGTTTAATTATCTATACTCTTGAAAGATTAGTACATTATTGGCAGTTATCTTATATGTGAACAACAAAATAAACTAAGGATGTTCATTGAAGTCCTCTTCATAATAACAATTACATAACAAGAAATTAAAGCAATTTCAACTCTATCTTAAGGAATTAGATGATTGTGTTTTTCACATTCACAATGGAATAGTCAACAATATTTTTTTTTTTCAAATGAGGTAGCCCAACATGAACTCATCTGGAAAAATATCTATTCCATGGGCACTGACAACCAATTGAAAGGGTGCGTGTGTGCTTTAGTCTACTTTTGTATAACTACGGTCAGTGGGGCTGGATTACACGGCTGCCCTGTGTCTGTGTCTTGAAGGAGGTTCAGCAGCACCCTTGCCTCTCCCCACAGGATGCAGAGCCACCAATTTATCTCTAAATTACCATCTTCAGATAGTGCCAAATGCCACCTACAGGTGGAGATGGAGGGCAAAGTCACCTCAGTTGAGATCACTGCCCTACCTTAACAACAACTTAGCTTTTAAGCTTGGAGGAAAAACTCAGAAATGTAGATCTTTCAAGTTCCTAAGAGTTATCCCCTGGGAACCAGGGTAGGGCAGGGAAAATAGTATTTTCTTTTTATTTTATACATCTGTGTACCATTTGAATTTTCATCCATCTGCATGCACATGTGCGTGCATGTGTGTGTGCATGTGTGTGTGCATGCAACACCCATGCATGTTTGCATGTGTGAATGCTGGTGCAAATATGCTGCATGTATAGAGGTCAGAAGACAACCTCTGGTGTTGGCCCTTGCCTTCCACCTTGTTTGAGACAGGGTCTCTTTTTCTTAATTTTTTTTTCTCTCTGATATGCCAGAGTCACCAACTTCTAGGACTTCTCCTGTCTCCATCTTCCATCTCCATCTCCCAGTAGCACTGTGATTACAGATGTTCATACTAACACATGAGACTTAATGTGGGTCTTGGGAATTTGAACTAAAATCCTCACGTTTGTGTAGCAAATGCTTTACCCACTAAGCCATCCCCACAGGCCCTGTTTAACTTTTTATGAGTATATATTTCTCCTGCAATTAGGTAGAAAATTTATTCCCATTCCACCCCCACTCACAGACATGAGCAAACACAAAGAAAGCAAGGAGAATAACTCATGTCAAAGTCTGTGTTTAGAACAGAGGGGCGGATGAGCCTTATCTAGAGGGAAAAACTTTTGAATGGTCTCAGAAGTGAGCAGAGCTCACTGATCAGTCACAGGGAGCCTCACCAAGCCACATGGCATGGGCTATATTTGAGATATCATAAACTATGTGGGAAATGTGTGTTTCTGACTCCTAGTTCTGACTGTGCTGAGGACCAGGGCCTTGCATCCTCTGCTTTGACTCTTCTGCCTGCTAAAAGGAATATCTGCCTTTCTGTGAGGACTTGAGGAGAATCAATCATGATCACAAAAGATATCTAGAAGCGGTAAAGTTTAAGGGCATATAAATAAAATGTAGAACTCTCTGGTTTCAGCGCTTTTTAAAACAAGTGCCAGGTCCAATTTGGGCATCTTGGACTTTGGAGACTCTCCAAATGCTTGCTTGGATTTCTTCTTAATTTTGAAAGAATTCCCTCTGAGGAGATTGTTCCAGTTCATTGATACCCACAGAAGGAAAACAGAGCTAATCATTGTTTTTCTCTCATTTTTGCTCTTCTCACTAACAAACTACTTTGAACAATGCCTAAGTTCTGTCCAGAAATCACAAGGTAAACTGCCCCACTGAGTGAGCCAGAACTCGCTGCATTTCCTAACAGGAATTTCTGGGTCCTACAGAAAATAACAATTCAGTTCCCCAAATTGATGCTAGCAAATGACAGATGAGATGTCCACACTCAAATCTTCACACAGCTGTCACTACACGGCACTGAGGAATTACAGCTTTTAACTATATTTTGAAAACTAGAAAGGGGAAAGTTCCTTGCCTGTGTGCATTGTGGGGGGTTGTGATTATTGTTTTTGTTTGTTTGTAATTTTCTTGTTGTTGTTTGCCATACTGGGGATCCATCCCAGGGCCTTGCACATGCTAGGCAAACACTCTATCACGGAGATACATCCCCAGCCTATCCTGATGTTTTAAAGTGATCCGAGGCTGTTTATGAATCAAGCTATAATCTGTGCACAGTACCTTATGTTGCATTCTTTTTACATGATGCTTATTTTTTTTCTTGTTAGAATAAATTTACTGACAAATCCAGTTTTGACTCACAAGTTACCCATGAATATTTTAATTATAACTTTTGGAAAAATTTACTTTTCTCCTCTGATTTGAAACAGCTTCTTAAATGCATTTTAGCTTATGTGACCATTTTTTACTTCTTTCCAATTTTGCCTCTGTTTATCAAAGCCATAACATTGTATATCTAGCTCATCTAGAAATTAAGCCTT